CATTGCCAAACTCTTTTTTTACGAGGCTACAATTACCTTGATACCCAAACCACACAAAGACACAACCAAGAAAGGGAACTACAGACCAGTCTCCCTCATGAACAACATCTAGTGATTCCCAGAATAGGGTAGAATTAAATTCTGTGGCACAGTTCATCACAGAAAAGCTTCAGTCTTGAGTACCAATGATGGACATAATCCTCAGGAGAACTATTGGTACATAACAGAATTCAAGAGAAGAAAATTTACCCAGGAAAAAAGATATGGGCTCCTGTAGTGCAGTTTCAATCCTGTATATCACAATTACAAAGCTATTTTCAATTATTTTAATCAAGTACATTATTTAGAACATCCCAAACAGAAAAACCTGGAGAGTGGGAAGGTCAGAAAATCCCAGGAGAAACTGTCAATGGGAGCATTGCCCTCTGCCCAGATTTTCAAACAAAGGTGCAATGTATTTCCTTGTCACTGTATTCTTTATTATGATTTATAAATATTGGTAGAACACATAAATTTTCAGGACCCATGAATAAAAGTTTTAGAACTTATATATGCTTCAAAATTTAAAACAGTAAAAGTGGGTTTTTTTGCAAAAAAGCATAAAAGTCATTATATATTTTTCTAATACAATGAGTATTGTGTATGTTCTGGATTTTTCTGGTAAGCCATGACATATTAATTTTCTTCTCTTCAGCCAAAAAAACAATCTCTGCTTATACTCATTTTAATTATTAATCTGTTCTTCAGATTATATATGTCTGCTTATGTTGCTGCTGCATGGTCATTAATTTAAGTTAAAATATTCTTCAAGCATTTAAAATAATTTTCAGATAGGACATTTTAATATGCAGAAGTTATTTCTGCTTTTGATTCAGTAATTCTGTTTATGGGTCATTTACTGTGAAATTAGTGAATAGCAGACTGCCACATTAGATGGGTGCCTTGCTTTTCTGAGATTTCAGTTAAAGTACAAAGATTTAGAAATTATAATTCTCAAATTTTAATCACATATTTTTCTTCACATGACATTCAAATATCAACTCAAGATGGGATAAACACTTTCATATCATCTTTTTATTGAAGAAATCAAGAGTTTGGAGTACTTTCATAATCTATGGTCAAGTTGTAGGCCTAAGTAGAGCATGCATCCTTTTACTCTATGTACAAGTTTACTCCATGAAAATAAGCATTGCAAAAGCTCATCTTGATCATTCCATAAGTATTCTCATCTTTCAAATGACTCTGATCCTGTGCCCTATAATCTACTAAGTAGAATGTATTGCATACATTTGTGTGGGAATAGATATGAACACATTGGTGTGTTCCTTTTGGCATATTATTTTTTTTTTATTTAGCAGCAATCATTTTACATATCAATTCATCCATTCACTCTGCCTCCCATCTTCCCATGGCCCCTAACAATCCCCCCAACCCACTCCCCCACCTGATCCCCAAAGATAGTAAGGCCTTCCATGGGGGATTGTAAAAGTCTGTCACATTATTTGGGGAGGGCCTAGGCCCTCCTTGTATCTTGGCTAAAATAGTATCCCTCCACAGGTAATGGGCTCCCAAAGTCCATTTGTGCAGTAGGGTTAAATATTGGTTCTACTGTTAAAGGTCCCATAGACTGTCTATGCCTCCTATCTGGCACACACATTCAGAGGGCTTGGTTTGGTCAAATGATGATTCCTCAGCTTTATGACTGGGGTCCCTGTGCTCTCACTAGGTCAGATCAGCTATTTCTGTAGGTTTCTCCAGCAAGGTCTTGACTCTTTGCCCATCCCTGCATCCTCTCTACAAGTGGATTCCAAGAATATGGCTCAGTGCTTAGCTGTGGTTTCCTGCTTCTGCTTCCATCAGCTATTGGTTGAAGGCTCTAGAATGCCAATTAAGGTACTCATCAATCTCATTATAAGGGTAGGGCATCAAAGGTGGCCTCTCCACTATTGCCTAGATTCTTAGTGCCCCCACAGACATATTCACAATTTCTCCACCCAATTCCCAATTTATGACATGAAGGAAACTTGTCTGGGGCCAGTCGACAAAAACTGTCCAACACACCTATATCCTTTTGTTTTTTTTAACATAATCACATATTAATTTTATTAGAAGTCAGTATGATCAAATGCCAACATTATGAACTTCAGTTCTCCAAGTCACATATGTTTCCAAAATAAAGAGCTAACACTCTTTCATGTGAATGGTAGAGACTACCCAGATGTTCAGGATATCTCCAATTGTAACGTGCTCTGGACAAAAGATAACTAGAGGCCAGGCAGTGGTGGAACACACCTTTAATCCCAGTACTCAGCAAGCAGAGGCAGGTGTTTCTCTGTGAGTTCAAGGCCAGCCTCATCTACTCAGCACTACCTCCAAAGCTACAGAGAATCCCTGTTTCAAAAAACCAAACAAACAAACAAACAAACAAAAAGTGTTAAAGATAACTAGAATTCTTTTTTAAAAATCATTTTGATTTGAATTAGAAACAAGATTGTTTTACGTAACAATCCCAGTTCCCTTCTCCCTCCCGTCCTCCCCTACCACTCTCCCCCAACTCAAATCCTATCTATCACATACCCTTACTTCCATTCTTCCCCTGACTCAAGCTTTCTGCTCCCTCATGACCTCTGAATCCTTCCTCTTCTTCCCTTCTCATTCTCGTAGCTCCCTCCCCCCTCTTAACTAGAATTCTTCACAAAAGGATGTGCACATGCAATAACAAGCTGGCATTTTTGACTGTTTATTCTTTTTTTTTACATAAAAGTTTACCAACAATAGAACAGTGGCTCAGACACCATTTTTCTAAATATATTCTTATACAAAATATTCATCTCAGTGTTCAAAGCACAGCTGAAATAAGTTATGTATGCATCGGTTACTCTGTTTTATCATTATTTTGCTTGCCTGTTGCAAGATTATCCTAGTGTTAATTACATTATAAAAATGGCAAAATCCTTGTGGTGCTTTGGTTTTCACATACTTAATATTTTTATAATTGTTAAAATACAATAATGTTAATAGAGGGAGCCATTATACGTTTAAAGAGAAATCTGGCACTAGGGAAATGTCCAGAGATCTACAAGGATAACCTCAACTAACAATCTAAGCAATAGTGGAGAGGCTACCTGTTGGGAGCTGCAAAGTACCACGCCCAAAAGATGGCACCGGTTTCTGCCTTCCGCCAGCCCGATGGCGAGTGCTCTCTGTGGTAAACAACTCCTAATTTGGTAAAGGTCATGTATTTTCTTAATTCTGCTTGGAGACAACCAATCCTGCACCACGTAGGGTTAGTTGATTGGTAGATGTAGACTATATCAGGCCCCATCTTCCTCTACCCGGGGCCGCCATTTCACTGTAAATCAAGAAGTTCCCAATTAAACTGTGTTGAAGAAGATTCCTCGGTGTTGCATCGTTCTTGCTGGTCAAGGGGGGATGCGACAGCTGCCTTAAATGCCCTTTCCCTATAAAGAGATTGATGACCTTGTATGCCACCCTAGAGCCTTCATCCAGCAGCTGATGGAAGTAGAAGCAGACACTCACAGCTAAACACTGAGCTGAACTCCTGGAATCCAGTTGCAGAGAGGAAGGAGTGATGAACAGATCAAGACCAGGCTGGAGAAACCCACATAAATACCTGACCTGAAGAAGGGGGAGCTCATTGACCCCATATTGATAGCTGGGAAACCAGCATAGGACTGACACTCACACCATGTTCTTGGGTGTCACTTAGGGGGCCTGGGCAATCTATGCGATCTCTGACAATGGATCAGTATTTACCCCTAGTATAAGAATGGTCTTTGGGAGCCCATTCAACATAGAGGGATACTGTCTCAGCCTAGTCACATGGGTGAGGGCCTAGGCCCTGCTCCAAATGATGTGACAGACTTTGAAGATCCCCCATGGAAGGCCTCATGCTCCTTGGGGAGCAGAAAGAGAATCTGATAGGGGCTTGGTGTGGGGCATTGGAGGAGAGGGGGGAGAGGGAAGTGGGATTGACAGGTAAAACAAGCTTGTTTCTAATTTAAATTAAAAAAGGAAAAAAAAGTACTATACACAGCTATATTCTTAAAAAAATAGCTCACCCTAACTTAGCAATACTTGAAAAATAGAATTACATAATTTGTGGGAACAACATGTCTGCTAGAAATGTCAAGTAATTCCCAGCGTGCCTTCTTTCTGTTGTGGTTTGACATTAGAACTATCAGATCTTTCTATAGCTGTTTTTTGACATCATGGACTCTAAACCACTAGACCAGTAAGCCATATGAATTTATTTCTTTTACAAAGCACTGCACATTTGCAAGTTAATTACTGGTGTTCTGGTAGAGATAGAGAACATTTTCTTTCACATAATCAAATAAAGTTTTACTTAGTAAATAATTATCATTACAAAACAAAACTAATGTTGCAGACACACAAAAAATATATAATCATATCTCCCAGTTTGTCCTGCTAAATTACAGTTAATTCATTACATTATTAGTTTCTCACTGTCATTATCTTACCCTTTTTACTTAAGAATAAATATCAGGGTCAAAATAGTAATACCACATCAACAAGATGCAATGGACAGATGCAGCTGGATTTGGGCCAAAATATTGCCAGTGACAATTTTATGATGGTAGACTTGCTTTTATAGTAGTAGCAAATTAAAATAAGACAAAAAATACAAGACTAAGGAAGACCACAATCTCATTCAGAAAAATGTCCACACATACCAAGTGAATCAGAGAAGAAGGCAATGTCACAGAAGTGACTGATTGGGTAGGAAAGAAAAAATTACTTTAAAAATTCAAATCTGCCCTATATAAACAAGGATTCTTCTGGCCTAAGAGCCCACTATTAGGCTGATGCATTGACTAGACATCAATGTATCTGGCTAGAGAAGACAATGCAGCAGTAGCTAGGAAGTAGTACTCTATGACACCCAGATAAGAGTGTCCTTCTATCACATTTAGTAAGATAAAGTATTTCAGACATCAGTGCAGACATTCATTTTGTTATTTTCTAAGTAATAATTTTCTCAGTGCAGCAATCACATCCTTGTTCCTAAGACTGTATATCAGGGGGTTGAACATGGGGGTCACAATGGTGTAGAACAGAGAGAGCAGTTTGTCAGTTCCTGGTGAATGTGCAGACTTTGGTCTAAAGTATGTAACAGTGGCTGATCCAAAAAACAAAAACACCACAAGTAAATGGGAAGAACAAGTGGAAAAGGCTTTTGCTCGTCCTGTGGCTGTTGGCAACCTCAGAATGGTGGCAATGATTTTGCTATAAGAAGCAAGTATCAACATAAAAGGGACTGTGGCAATGAGGAGAGTCACTAAGTAGACAGAGAGCTCATTAATAAAGGTGTCCCCACAGGCCAGCTTGAGAATGGGAGGTAAGTCACAGAAGAAGTGATCTACCTGGTTAGACTGACAGAAATGTAGAGAGAATATCTGACAGGTTTGCCCAAGCTGGAATGGCATTCCACCGAGCCAGGATCCTGCTGCCAGCTGATTGCACTTTATTGGGTTCATGACCAAGGGATATTGCAGGGGGTTGCAGATAGCCACATATCTATCATAGGACATCACAGCCAGAAGGAAACATTCAGTGGCTCCCAGCATAAGGAAGAAGCATGTTTGAGTGGCACAAGCCAGCTTGGATATACTTCTATTCTGAGTACCAATGTTGAACAGAATCCTAGGAAGAATGACTGATACATAACAGATTTCCAGAGAAGAAAAGTTTGCCAGGAAAAAATACATGGGCTTCTGTAGTGCCGGATCAAGCCTGGTTATAACAATTATGAAGCTATTCCCAATTAGGATAATTAAGTAAACTATGGAGAACATACCAAACAGAAACCCCTGGAGGTTGGGAAGGTCTGAGAATCCCAGAAGGATGAATTGTGTCACTGTGGAGGCATTGCCCTGTGCCCTGATCTCTGTGAGATCCATGCTTGTAGATGATTCATTGATAAGTGCAACTCATGTTACTGCATTTGGTTTTCTCATCTTAAATATAAGCCATAGATTCCATGCTCCAAGACCTCGTGATTTTTCTATGATATTAAGAGAACACTTTTATTAAGAAAACATAATATATATTTCTCTCAAAGTTGAGGAACTGTATCTAGATTTTCAGTGAATAATTTCAAGATTTTTTTGTTTGTTTATACAGTTAACATTTTTTGGTTGCTCTGAATAACTAAGCATACTACTTTAATTTTCTTCTCCATAAACCAAAGTTAGAAATTGAGTTAATAGAGTTTAATAATGATTCATTCTTATAATTGACTTTTTTCTCTCTGTCTAATAATTTGTACTTATGACTATCATTCTTGAGATTAATTTCATAAATTAGCAAATTATACAGGAGTATTATTCAATACATTTGTAATATTCAAAATCACATAAAAAGTTTCAGGGATTATATACTACTATTTCAGTCTTATTCTTCTATTAGGTTTGATGGTTTTTTATACAGGCTACTTTAGTACAACTGGTCCCCAAATATTACATGGCATCTAAAATGTATAAAAGATTTTGGGGGGAGGGTACACAGACAATGCAAAGCAATGTTAAAAATCTTATGCAGATTTTTAAAATTTCTGTCCCCAGAGATGGAAGTTAGGACAAAATAAAGAATGTTAACATCTCTCTATCTCAGAATGCTGAATGGTCAGATGCTGTCCCATCCATCTCCACACATAGTGAGGGAAGTGCACCTAAGAGGTGTATCTCTCTATTTGAATCAATATCTTTTGTCGAAACATTGTATCCACCAGCAGTCACTTTATACTGCTCTAAGCAGTTCATATTCACTCTGATTTGTTCTTACACAGCCAGATCGCTTGTCCCATTTTTCATTGTCTGCATTTCTGCAGGTCCTATGTTTGAGAATTCTGGCATGTTTTCATCAATTTTTGTATGTTTTACTTACATCTAGAGGAGTATTTTCCTTCTAAAACCTTCTTGGCTCCTATATCTTACTTTTAAAAACTTCATTAAAAGCTGGGCAGTGTTGGCACATGCCTTTAATATCAGCACTCAGGAGGCAGAGACAGGCTATGAGTTTGAGGGAAGCCTGGTCTACAGAGCAAGTTCGACTACAGCCTCCAAAGCTACACAAAAACCCTTTCACAAAACAAACAAACAAAAAGCTTTATTGTAAAACTTGCCAACATTAGAAACTTTGGGAATTATTTTGTAAATAACAAAACCAGAACATTCCCTTATTCAAAGAAGCCCATGCTCTGCTGACTCTACTCCTTATCTTCTATCTACGTACCCTTTTATCAACTCTTCATCCATTTATCTATTTTCAGTAGTAGATGCATTTTCTCTCACTGTGTGCAGCCAGAGGGCGGTATGTGGGTATAAAACAATCATCCACTCTGTCAGAAAACCTGACTTTCTTACTCCTCATTGTATCAACTAATTTTCACATTAAGTGATATTTACTTTTTGACAGTGTTATACATGGCTAATGAATTTCAAAATTTCACTTCAAACATAGAAGCAAATGGGAAGATTATAGGGTTTGAGATTGTCTTGCACTTCCTTAGGATTTTGTGACAATCATAGGAATGTTATATGAAAATAATTCTTTTTTCTATTTCTACTATTCCATATTTAATCATAGCGTTAAAGCAGTGACAGAACTTGATCCTGTTTTTAAAATGTTTATAATTTTATTGATAAAAATGGAATAAGGATGTGTCAACTTACTACAACTGAAACTCACAAAGTACAAATACTTTTAGTAAAAATTGTCACAGCTGTCATTTCAATACCATAAAAGTATTCCACCAAGTTTTCCCTCTCCATTACACTACATAATGCTTTTAAACACATTTCCTCACCTATTTAACTCAGACTACTACTATATACACAGGCATTCACAAAACTCTACAGCCAGATCACTTTCTTGAAGACCAGAATGTATTATGTGATCTACATCTGCTTTTGAATATTGCTCTGAAAATGTGTCCTTCTCCCAATATAAGTAATAAATATTTATAAAGCACACCTCTTGCTTTAGTTTTACTGTGTTTGATTATGGGATATTGTTTAGGCTCTTTCTATGTTGCAATCTCCACTGGGTGCTTTTCAAAAGCTTTTGAATGAAAACATAGCTTTTAAGTGAAACTAGGATTTTTTTAAATTACTAGTTAAAACACATTAGCTGATTCTTTTTACTTTCTATACTTCTACAGATTTTTTTCTTTTAATAAAAGTATCAACATTTCATCTTGATGATGAGGCATCAATATATGCTGTATTCATATATGAAGATTCTCAAACTAATAAATGGTATAAGTATATAGCTTTTTAAATTGAAAAAGCCATTTATTGTACTCATTTTATTGAATTTCAATTTTAAACTACAGGTTAAGCAAAGGAAATTGCAAATTGACATATCTACACAGGACATACTTACATTTGTTGTTGTTATTATTTTGATGCTTGCCAGCTCAATCCCTGGGCTGATCCATGCTAGGCAATTGGTCTGCCACTATACTGCATTGGCAGCATAAGAACCTGCACCTACAAACCATCTCTATGTCAGGCAGCAAAGCTCCAAATTTTTCCTCTGTAAACTTTTCAAAATTAATTTTTACCAAGAATTAAACACAAAGATATGTGGAAATAATATAAATATAGTACTCATGTATGGAATAATGAAAAGGAATGAAAAATTGTCAGTCTTTACAGGAAAATATAGTCATTTCTTCTTTGACTAAAGATGTTTAAGTTTATTTAAATAACATACCCTGTGAAACAAAGAAATTCTTGGATGTCATTTTTGGAATATCAAATAATGTAATATGATAATTTATACAATGCAAACAGAAGATAACTGAACTAGTTTATAAAATAAAATCAATGGTAAAGAATAAAAGTAGATAAAACAAATAAGTTCAGAAATGTCTTTATTATAAAACTATCTAAGAAAAATAGAAGACATGCTAAAATGTTCCTAGCAATTTTAGATTCTTTTACCACAGATGTTAATTTTTAACAACCATGAGCTTGTTGATAACCATAGGTCACAGGCACATTTCAACTATGTTCATTCAATATATTGATCATATATTGATGTAGTTAGATTTTTATGTGATACAGACTCTAGAACTTATACTTGTAAAATATCTTAATAAAGTAATTAGAAATGGAAAATCAATTGCTAATTGCTTCATGATAGTGCATAATACAATAATGTCTATAATAATTTTGACCATAATTTCTCCCATACTGACTTTCATAGGATTTTATATTTTTCTGTCAACTGACCTTGTAATATCATCCTAAAGCTAACTTTAAAACACAAAGAGAAATACAAATTTGATATACATCCAAAGAAGAATTATTTGGAGTATGATCCTCACCTTTATAAATTAGCAGAAGACAAGTAACAATGGATTATTCATCTTTTGATTTTTCTAACTTAAGTATGAATTTATTTAAAAAGAGGTTAATCACCTTCTAATACATATTACATACTGTGCTATTTAATTAGGATACTGGCTTTACTCTGGGAATAAATTCCTTTCCCAAGTTACTTTCTAATTAAAGGGAATGTTTCTTCATGAACCCAGAAGCTCAAAAAGCAAAACAAAAACATAAAAGAACCACTTAAGTAAACTACTCCTTTTATACTCTAATTATTATACTTTTTCTGTTTTGTCAGTATGAGGGCCAGGAATAATGGTTCATGACTGTAACCCCAGCCCTAAGGATGCTGAGGTAGGAGAATTGTGAGCTTGAAGGCAACTAGGGTTTCATAGTAAGACTTTATTGCTAAGTAAATAAGTATATGAATAAACAATAAGTTGAAAGAATGTTTTCTTTTGTCATTAAAACAATGAAAACATCAGAACTTGGTAATTACTTTACATAATATTTATTTATTGGGAGGCTGAGTCTTGTTTGTAGTCTGGATGGTCAGGTGCTCCCTACATAGATCCATCAGTTCTCAGAAGTGTGAGAGCTGCTTCTGAGATCAGTGTGGACCATCAGTTCACCTCACTGTATACACATTTTATATGTTATATTAAAAATACTGACAAATTTCCAAACTTACACTGCCATCATCTAGATTACAGTAAATGCACAAGAGGTCATGCCCAAGACTGAAATATTCAGCATGTCTCCCAGTTCTAAACATTCATCACATTGAATAAATTGTTCCAAAAACTACAGGAAGAAGAGGAAGAAAGGAAAGGCTCACTTTTCTCCCTTGGGTTTGTGAATAGAGTGTTATATAGAATTTCCAGGACTAATCATTCATCTAAAATGCAGATGCAAAATGAAAGCAGTGAAGGTGAGAATAGAAAGTGTCACTTATATTTTAATCTATGTAGACAACTAAGAATCCTAATTTATTAATCAGCAATTGTGTCTCAAACTAAAATTCCACTTCATACCTGCTTTTATTCCCCACCAGGGACCTCTTAAGTTAGATCCTAAAGTAATATAATTCACTTTTGTTTACTCTAAATATACTTCCCTCAAAACACACATAGATGTGTCAAAATATAATGGAGAATATTAAAATAATCCACAAGATCCTATAATATTAAAACAAGCATTATTTGATAAGATAAATGAAAATAAGTACTTTTAGAACCATGAATCTTCTTAATGTCCCTTGTATTATCTCATATGAACTAACAGTTTTTAGTTGTATTTACCTTAATTGTAGCCACTGAAATGTTTATGTAATACTAAATAAATATTATTATAGCATATATTCAAAATACTGCACCAAGACCATAAGAATATTTATTTTTAATTACTTTTTAATTTATGTGTATAAGTGTATGTATGTGGTGCCATAGATTACAGAACAGGACACTTGAGCTGTAACTAGAGTTACAGATGGTTGTGAGCAGCCATTACCTTGAGGACCAGAAAGATCTGATAACTGCTTACCCAGCTCCCCAACATCTGAG